ACGTCGACCTGCACGAAGCGAGACCCTCGCGCCACCGTTCAGCCCAAGTAGTTGGTCAGAGAGATGGTATGAGAAAGAGGAAAAAGTGAGAGAAGGAAGAAATAGGGAGAGAAAGGGTGTTTGAAGAGAAGTAAGGAGACAGGGTGCGGGATGGACATAGGCTGCTTGATCTTGGTGCTATCGGTCCTATTAAGAAGGGGATGGAGGCTAATATTGACCCCCTCATCGATGAAAGGTGGCAGACGGAGTCCCTAGAAATCTTTACTTCCAAACGATGAACGTAAAATCAGTATTACAGAGACCGAGAGATAGAGATAGAAGGAAGAGGGCGAGAGAAAGAATGGAGAATTTGTGGAAGTTGAAGAAGAATGGGGGGAAGGAGAAACATGTTGAGGGTGAAGAGGGGGTGAGAGTTTATGAGAGAAGAAGAGGGGGATGAGAGGAGACGGGTGTGACGGGGTATAGTGGGATGATCTTGGTACAGAAAATTGTAGAAGGAGAAGAGAACGCGAAGATGGGACGTGAGTAGGGAGTGAGAAATGGAGACGACAGAAGGAAAGAGAGTACCGGGCAGGCCCGGGAACCCGTCCCAGGATGCCTGTGCTATTTGCCAGAATGTCTGCTTGTCTTATTCACTGTTTATCTGTCTGTCCAACGTTCAATACAGGTGCTTGGAACTTGCCTTTTCCAGCTTTACCTTGGAAATAAGGTCTGGACTACGGGACAGACATTGGCTGGTTGGGGTATGCCTAAGTTAAATACTTTAAGAAATATTAGAAATTATAGAGATTTTTGAGGGATAGAATGAAGGGGTAAGGGAGTGACAGCATATTTCGGGTACTGAAAGTAATCCCAAGTATATGATAGGTAATGTGTGTCCAGACTGGGGCCATATGCTTGGGGCTAGCATCATCAAACTTTGAAGTGTGACTGGTCATTACCTGGGGAAGGGCATAGGCTGGTCGGGGTCGAGTTCCATGGACTCCCACCGTTTGCATGATATAGCAAATTTCTCTTATTTCAATTTCGTTAAATAAAAAAGCCTTCCTCATTAAGATTAATCTAATGTTATGTGTTAGATTCTGTTATGAAGTACATTGATGAAGACAGTGAGCAGTGAGAGTGGTTACAAGGATCTAAGAGGAAAGTGGTGATGTGTAGAAAAGATGGTCATAGTTCCGAATCCCAGACCATTCACTCTGTTAAGCTGGTGAATGATAACCCGAAAGTGTCTGGCCTGCAACCTTGGACAGACAGGCAGGCAGATAAACAAATATTCTATCTTAGAATGTCTCAGATAGTTAATATTTTGTATGAGTAAAGGATGTGTTTAATTGTACTGTTAATATATTATCCCAAAAATACGGGAATTTTGGTTAGCCCATTTACTAGTAAAGTGTAATATAAAAAAACGATAATATTTAATAGAATACACACGTTTAAAAATCATGAAACAGTGAAGTAATTGAAACATGGCAGTCCTTCACCGTAGAGTTATATTTTACTTACCGTCCCGCGTGAAGCAGACGAGTGTGGGCGAGTCTCCCTCACGGAAAGGTCCTACCTGGTTGTCTATGACAGAGTCCCCCAGTTCACCCATCCACCATCTTACACCAACCCTCATCGGTGGCACTGGTAAAGAAGGTACGGGCAACACGTCATTATGAAAGTACTTAATGCTACAACATGAAAAACGAATCATTAATGAACACGAGAAAATGTTTTTATAGAAAAAAATAACTGTTTCAGTTATTGGAGGCATTCAGTAATGGTACGTTCAGTGAAAGAATACTATTATTAATAAATCTTCTTTCATTAAATAGTGGAGAATGAATCATAGCGCCTAGGAACAGACGGATAATATATAGAAATGATTGGATGATTAATAAAACATAAGTCTTTTAATAGAAACCCATAATTCTATGATAGTGCATTCAAACAGGATTCATTAGCGGCCTGCCATTAGTTGTCGACTAACTATATCATTGCAACTGTCGCTCCGAGATTTTCTAACACGCCACTCTTTTAAAACACTTTATAAAATCCAGTTCTCATTCCTTACATAATTCATATGAGCCAGATGATTTGATAAACTGGCATGTAAACACATACAAATAGAAAGATAAAAATACCTTGAACTTCAAACAGCAGCAAATCATTGTTATTTAATTATGCTGCTTGTTAATTTAAAGTGAAGGGGAAAACAATGTTTATCAGTCATTGATGATAAGTAAATAATCCCGTTTTGAAACATTTATATTTTTACACACAAAATAATTGTAAAATATTACGCACACAGGTAAAGCCTAACCTCTTGGACTGGTCGGTACAGTGTTGTTATTATTAGTTTTAAGTATTTTAGGATGTGTATTAAACTAGGTAACTAAATTTAACGACCTCCGGTTATAGTATGTTTTTGTGTCCAATTAATGTTATGTATCCAAAAACGTCAAAATTATTCTCTTAGGGGGATCAAACAGCCCGTTCTCGCGAGCGTTCCAAACGTCAAGATATTGTGGTATTAAAGTGACTTATCCTAACCTACCAGAGGAGTTATGAACCTAAAACGGGACACTATGTCACTTTATCATGACGCTACCATTTTCTAGTACGCCAGTTTTTGGCCTTAAGTGAAGTAAACGGCAAAATGCGACGTGCTATTAGGAGGTCGGGTTGGGTCAAAAGTTCTAAGGGACAGTTCCCATTCACTTGAACTGGACAGTAGCGTTAAGGTCTCGCTTCGTGCAGGTCGGCGTTCACTCCCCGACCGTTCAAGTGGTCTGGCACTATTCCTTTCCTATGTTCCATCTTAATTCATCATATTGCTTCCCAGTGCTACATGGTCGTAATAGCTTTGCGCTGTCTCCTGGCGAGAAAGCTGATGAACACTTTCAGTTCATGAGTTTCTGACTTTTTGAATATGTCTATATCAATAAAAGAGCGTGTCTGTCTGTCTGTCTGTCTGTCTGTCTCTCTCTCTCTCTCTCTCTCTCTCTCTCTCTCTCTCTCTCTCTCTCTCTCTCTCTCTCTCTCTCTCTCTCTCTCTCTCTCTCTCTCTCTCTCTCTCTCTCTCTCTCTCTCTCTCTCTCTAGAATGAGAAGATAATGTAGAGGGAGAGAAAAGGGGTGACGGAAAGAGCGAGGTAAAGAGAGAGAGAGAGAGAGAGAGAGAGAGAGAGAGAGAGAGAGAGAGAGAGAGAGAAAGAGAAGACAGACATAATAATAAGAAAACAGGAAACAGGAAAAAAGGAAAACAATAAAAAAACAGAGGAACAAAGACAAATCAGAAGTGCCGGTCGACCCGGACACCGCCGGGAACCCCACCTCATATATGAAAGTACATAAACAATAAAACTAATTAAGCAAATAAAAAAATTAATTAGTAAGCAAATTAAAAAAATATAACAGCAGTAGCATTTTTATATTCACTTCTACTCCGTATTTCCTTACATATTTTAGGGAATAGTATGTAGATAAATTATGTTTCAGTTTACTCTACTAATTAAATTAGTCGGTTAAAAGTCTAGATGGAATCCAACTTTTGTAAAAATTGTCAGTGGTGTCAGTTTTGGACAAAACTGTAAACTCTAAATATAGATGTATTGTTAATATCGTTTAAACAAATTTAATGAAGTTAACTTGAACAACGAGAGCTTGAAAACAGGCTCTGTCGACACGTTCCTGATGCAACAGCTCTCAAATAATATTAAACTTATGATCTAGTAATCGCTTAAATATTTTATAGGCACATTTTCGACTGTTTCTCAAAAGATAGTTTAATGGGTAAGGTATTAAAATGACCGACTGACAACAGCTGACCTGACTCCCAGGTACTTGGGAGTCAGTCAGCTGTTGCGTGCTGTATCCCGGGAAGCGAATGAATGAATGTGTGTGAGAGAAATATATAGTGGATATGAGAGAGAAAATAATCGTCGAGGGTCAGTACATTAGACAAACTACTGGGAGAAAGACGAGCACACACACACACAAACACAAACTTGCACCCCTATCTACATCACTCACGTGACCCATATTTACCCTTATGTACACCACCCATGTGACCAATATTCGCCCCTATCTACGTCACGCATGTGACCCCTATGTACATTACCAACAAATCCTGTAAAAAAATGCATGCATTCGACCTTCATGGAGATATATATTTAACTAAATTATCACAAATGTCATTAAACACACATATTGCTAATATATATTCAGTGACTAAGCAATAACTCAAAATATCGAGTGAGTAAAGATAGTGAACAAGTACAGTAATATGTATAACACGAAGCTATGGTGTTTTCTTTATTTTGTAATAAAATCGCATTTCTTAATTAATCCATAAGTCGATAAACGATCACAGATTTAAGTGGTTTCGAATAAATTATACATTAGTTTAAACATATGCTCAGCAACATAACACTAACATGAGCTCAGCATTTTCAGGATAACATAAACTCAGCATTTTCAGGATAACATAAACTCAGCATTATCAGGATAACATAAACTCAGCATCATAATGATGACATGATTACAGCAACATGACAGTAATATGAGCAGATCAACATGCTAATGTGAGCAGAGCCATACAATAACACAACGAGTAGAGCAGCGTAATGAGTGCGTGAGTACAGCAACATAACAAGAAGATGAGTAAAGAAACATAATGATAACATGAGTAATCCTGTATAAAAAGAAATTCAGTACAGCTACATAACGAGAACGTGAGTACTGGCAGATAATGAACACGTGTGTAAGAACACAAGGCGCCACCTACGGCGTGTACACATACCTACAACAGTGAGGTTGACTCGGGTGTTGCGTGTCGGGCTGAGCAGGAAGTCAACACGACACCGAAACACGGCCGAATCGTTGAGCTCCACATCACGAACCACCAGACCCACCGACTCGTCGTCGTCGTCGTCGTCGTCCAGGTTCCCCTCACTCGACGTTTGGCGCTCATCGACCTCCAGGTCATTACCCAGGGCATCAAAATCGTCGATTCCGAAACCCCTGGGGCTGGCGCCATCACTGAACGCCGTCCCCACGTCGTCTCCGAAGCCCATGGCGGCCACGTGGGTGCCAATTACGGCCTGGGCAGTGCCATCCTCAACGCCTACGTCATTGCCAGCCAGGTGGAGATAGGCTCTCCGGGCGGTGGAGGCAGTGCTGTCTCTCCACACCTGCGGCTGCCCACCTGCCTGTTCGCGGTAGTCGACGCTGTAGGTGACACAAGTGAAACACGTATTTAGTGTCGTGAGCCTTTACACGAGGGGAAATGAAAATGTGCCATAGCTACATGATAAAAATTAGAATAGGGGAAATGAAATGAATATTAGTAATGAAAAATGTAGAGACATGGTTACTGGGTAAGAAGGATCTAAATTTAATTTTTGCTGCCGGAAAATTCATTCCTCACATAGGCTAATCATAATTAATTAAATGCTGGGAGTAAATCAAATTTGAATAGAATATAAATATTCACATAAACATTAATTATATGCTTCATAATACATCACACTCGAGAGTATATTACCTTCCCAGAACATAAAAAGAATCATTAAAAAGAGTTTCGTTCTGATCTCTTTCTAAATGAAGTGCAATTAAGTCGTGTCTCCAACAAGGGTCACTTAGGGACTACTATTTCCATTCAAATTAGTGCAACACTTTATGTCTTTTCTAAGCAAAATTAATATGAATTAAATCACTGCCAATGCATATTTACTGTTCATTTAGTTGATTAATACATTTTGACTAATAGCGAAAGGAAATTTTAATTAAATTTATGTCTATAATCTCTTGTGGTACACGCACCAGTGCTGTTATCAACTCAATCATCATAACACTCACCAACACACGCACCTTCCAGTCTTCAGCAACACCACGAGAACACCAATACACACCCAGCATAATGTTCCATTGGTGTGGTTCCTAGGATCACTCTTCTCTCCGGTCAGTCTCTAAGAAGGCAACCAACACATCCACAACCACGCACAAGCACACAACCACATCGGCAAAACCCAAAACCCTGACCACCACATTAACCAACAAAGACCCCAGCACCTGTAAGTTAATCAATAAACCCACAAGCACAACCACGAACACACACAAACACCTAAACCAACGCACCCACCGAACAGAAATATGGTCACCAACATAACAAAGGAAAATCCCAGCAAAACACATCCACCAGAACACTGCCTTGAACCCATGACTGTTTTCTTTTTAGCAAAAATCTAAACTTGTAAAGTGAGCCCCACTGTGAACTAGACTAGTGCGTGTATTGACGGAGGAATGCAATACGAGGTCAACCATAGCGAGAGAAAATGCAATGGCGATATGATCACTGAAAACAAATATCGAAAGGAAAAGAAATAGGGGCCATGAACAGGCTATTCCAAATGCCAAACGTAAAATAGGAGGAAGTGGGCAAGAGAAAGTATCCTGATATGAATAGAAGAAAGGTGCGGAAACATTCATTCCCTGCAATGGAGGTTCAGTGGAAATCATCGAAAGAGGACTTCCGCAAGCAAGAAATCAAGACTTCCTCTCTCGTAGTCACTGTCAGGAAAGTACCCACCAGCACCTTCACCAAGAAGTCAACCAGTACTGCTAAAACGTTTCCTGAAAATCAAATAAATAAAACATTCTTTACTACTCTCACCAACGGAGTCCCGGACAACCCTACAAACGAACACTCCTATAAACCCAAAATATCACTCTTCATCAATCTACTAACTGTACTGTCTGATTATTGTAGGATGCCTACAATCATCAAAGAATCTCCTCAACAAAGCCAACCTACGCTCTCTCCAGTACTTTCACCAACGGAGTCTCCAGTACTCTCACCAACGGAGTCTCGAGTTCTCTCTCCAACGCACTCTTCACCACGAAAGAAAGAGCTCTCTGATACATAAACTAATACACCTTCAAGCTCATTCTCCAACGTGCTCACCAATACTCCCATTAACGCAATCTCTAGCACTTCTAACAACGCACGCTCCATTACACCCTCTCGTGCAACCTTCAGTACATCTATCAACGCACTTCCCATCAAACTAACGCAGTCTTCAGTATACCCAACAACGCACTCTTCAGTATACTCTTCAACGAATATTTCAGCACGTCATCTAACGTACTCTTAACTACTCTCACCAACGCACTCTTCAACAAACCCGTCAACGCACTATTATGTTCACCCACCAACGCACTATTTAGAACACGCATTAACCCACTATTCATTGCATCCACCAACGAAGTCATCAAAACACCCACCAACACATTCTCCAACACAGCAACCAGCGCACACACACCAACACACTCTTCAACACCCTTCACCAACACAACTTCCAACATACCCACAATCACGCTATCACTATATTCTTTGTTTACTTTTTTTTCACTCTTCTCATTCGTTCTTTGTCTCTCTTCTGCGCTTCATTCTCCCCTCTAACCTTCCTGTCTCACATTTTTCTCTCCCACTCTCCTTTTCCTTTAAACCCCTAACAGGAGCCATTTTATATATAACAAAATCCTTTCGTCGTTATTCATCCAATTTTTATCAACAAGACGCTGCAGTCATTAACTAGCTGGACGCATTTTACCTCCCTCAGATGTAGGAGGCTTTTCAGGGTAGAATCTCGCTTACCAACCACTCGAAAAGTATTTACGTTTGTTTCCTGTCTGGCTGGGTGGGTGGGTGTAGGGCGGGTGAGTGGGTGTGGAAATGGTTGGCCTGGAGATGAAGGATGATGTTGATTGGTGGTGCAGTTTGGTCGGGTGGATGACGTGGTTAGGGTTACATGCTGGTCTGGTGGGTGATGTAGAGAAGGATCTGTGTTGGTCAGGTGGGTGATGTAGTTTGAGTTTCAATTTCTTGAGGGAAATGTGTGCTTTTCTATATTAGGATATTGATGAATATTACATCAGATGGGTATTGTAGCTCGGGATGTATGTTTGTCAGGTGAGCGATGTAGTTATGGGTTCGTGTTAGGTGGATGATATAGTTAAGGCTGAATGTTGGCCTGGTGGATGATGCAGATACAAGTGTATGCAGATCAGAATAGAAGAGATACTGAAGGGGTAAAGTTGGGGTTAGGTACGGAGTTAAGGGTCGTGGAAGGCTGCAGATGCGAGGGAATAGGGGCAGTTGAGATTTCAAAGTGGTACTAGTGGTTGATGAAGTAAGAGATGCAGATGTTACCACACCTCGTCAACCTCAAGAATGTAGCACTTGGGAGGTAGGTAGGCAGATATATACGTGAATGAGGTAAACAGGGAAACAGGTGGGTTAGGATAGAATGGACGCATTAAGTTGAAGCAGTAAGGGTCGTTGTGTGATGAGGTAGTTGAAGGAGCATTCGTATAGCAAAGAAATTATTAGCAGTGGGTCATGCGTTAAGAAATGCAGGTAGGTGAGGTAGTGCCCGTGATTGTAGGCAGCTGAATGTGGGTTAGTTTGGTACAAATTGTGTTGCAGAAACGTTGAGTAGATTGCCTTCCAGGAATCCTGATTAAGGTTTCTTAATGATGGTCTTATATTTGCCAGCATCCAATATGCTGACGATATGATCCTGTTTGTTTGGGCCTCTGGTTTAAGTGTTGAATTAAACTTTCTCCCAAATATTTCTCTTTTTCTGATTCCTGTAGTTATCTCTTCCTTATGGTGTAGCTACCTTTTTGTCTCTTCTCTTCCTTTACCATCTTCATTACCATAAATTTGTTGGGAATTAACTCTAGCAACTATTTGTTTGAAAACACTTTGTGTTTGTCTAGGTCCTCCTGCAACTTCCTTCTGATTTCATCTGTTTTCACGTTCTGCAACAGCTTTGCATCATCAACAAACGACTTACACGAGCGAGTGAACTCTGACATATCAATTTAGCTTCCTTCCCCGGGTAGGTCGTTCACATAAATTAGAATCAGAAGTAGTCCCAGGAAAGAGCCTTGTGGCACTCAACTCCTTACATATCACCTGCTTGAAGTCTCTTCTTTGATTGTGACTTTCTGTTTTCTGAATTTCACGTGCTCCCTTACGGAGTGTTTTTCCAGTTATCCAAGTCTGCTTCTTCATCTTGTACAACAGTCTTTTATGGGGAACAATGTCAAATGCTTTCGACATTCTAAAATACGGTCGACCCAGTCCTCCTTTTTTTGTCTTATTTCTGTAACATTGCAATAAAACACAATCAAGTTTGTCAGGTATAACTCTCCATTTCTAGATCTTTGCTGATCTGATGTTAATAAGCCAGTCCTCTCCAGATGCTCCACCTTTCTAAAAAAAAATTTTATCCAGCACTTTACAAGGAATACTTGTCGATGATACCGGTCTGCATTTTCTATTGTCTATTTTCTGTCTACTTTCTATTTCCCTATTTTGAATATTGGAGCTATGTTTGTCCATTTTCCAGACTCCTGGGAGATTTCCTGTCTGGAGCCATTTATTAAAAATGATAGATAATGGGTAATAAATTACTTCTGCAGCTTCTTTCAGCAGCCATGGTGAGATATGTTCAGGGCCCCATTGATTTTGTTACATCTAGTTCCTCCAGTTATTTTCTCACCGCCTCTACAGTGACTACAATGCCATCTGTTGCTTCCTCCAGCCTCTCCTCTTGCAACCTTGGTCTTCATTCTGGTTTTAAGGTAATGACCTCCAAAAATCTTTGTTGAGTTCTTCACATACCTCGTTATCATTTTCTGTCCGACGTCGCTGTTTTTCAGCTAATATAGCAATAGAAAGGTTGTGGATGTTCTGTAGCTTTTGCAACAAGGTCATTTTCAAACTGCGTCTCAGCTAGCTTCTATCCTAACTCGGGTCTATTAATTTACGGTTCTCTTTATTGCCTCTCTATTATCCTCTGTTTCTAGCTTCTCCAGGCATTTTTTTGTTATTTTCTTTCGCTTTCCTGCATTGACTATTGCAGTGAGGGTTTTAGTATGAACTGTTGCTTTGCATTCTCACACTTACCAGCAATGAATTCCATCATCTCATTTGATGTCTTCCCATTGGTTTATCTCTTCCATTGGATTTCCTGCAGAAAGTCCCTCGTGCTGTTCTAGTCCCGCCCATCTGTAATATATTTTCATCTTCAACGGGTTTCTTTGTGTAACATTATCCTTTAGCTTCACTATGTATTAAAGCACGACAATGGTCGCTAGCTCGTAGAGGCATCTCATACTCTTTATTTTTTATTTGCTTTATTTTGGGAAAACATTAG